AGTAATTTATATCAACGATTAAAATATTTGAAGTCTGAAGCAGTTATTGATTTAATTTTGCCAAAATAATTAAGCACCCTTCTAAAAATTGTTTTGCAAATGCCTTTATTTTTTGAAAGATAATCGAAGCTTGATTCAGAATAATGAAACAAATAATAAATACAAATTCCTGATGTAACAAATGCATGGAATTGTTACAGCAGGAATAGCAAAACAATACAGTATGTCAGTAATGATATTTATCATAACTGACAATCAAAAAAGTCATTGACTATCAAATAGTATCTCTAAGCAATGACACATTGCTCATTCTATCAAAAATCAACTTAATTTAAGGTACTTAAGTATCATTTATTGAAAAATTCATAAAGGATGGTAATTATTTCTTTTTTACATTAAATAATTACTGAATTATCCGAGAAATTCAGGTAAATGTTTTAGGAAAATTTAAGGGATTCGTTTCAAGTATACACATATTTATTGAATATTAGTTACCATTTTGTTCCAAATCCCTTCCCATTTTTCACACAACTTGAAGGTTCTATCAATTCAAGTTCTTTAACAGAAATCTTTTCAAATCAAGTTTTTATGCAATAGAAAGAATGAAAGATTTTGATATTAAAGGATTTTTGTAAGGACCTAAATAAATATGAAATTCTGAGGATCGAGTATCTCGTGAATTTGATTAATTGGGGTAGATCTCCCACACTCCAAATACTTTTATCGTATAATCAAAGACATATGACGCCGAATATTATCTGATAAAATACGATGGCCTCCCATTTCGCTAGTTCTGATAATTTGTTCATTCGTGTTGTCTTCAATTAAACTAATGGCAATCAATAATTTTCTGGAATCATCCGGTTTGTTGGTAAATTCAAGAATACGGGATTTATTTCCAAGTTTACCAGGCATAACTTTCTTGAACTACTTATCAATTTTAAGCTTAGTAAACCAGTTTAATATGATCCTCTTTTGCTATACACCTTCACTATAAACAGCGCTTATCTGTTCTGCTGCTGATGTGATATTTTTGCTGCTTTTTAAGTGTAAAAGAAAATTATCCAATGTATTTAATGTATTTAGTTTCCTTCCATATAAAAATCAAACCAAACAAATATATATACTAAATAACATAAAAATTATAGTAATATATTCAAAAATATAAAATAAATATATTCTAAATATTGAAATCTAAAGATGCCTGAAATATTCCCTTTCATATTATGTACATTTGTCAATTGCTCACAGACATGTTGATATATTGAGACTTGTCTTAAGACCATTTACAAAAATTTACACGAATTTTCAGGACAACTCAATGCTATTTCAGATACAGTTTTCAAGTAAGTGCAACACACACATGATATCAACTTCTTTTTTTATTGCAAA